TTATAGATCTTTCTAGAAAAACTTCTTGCAACTCATGAAATTATGGCTTTTCTTGTATTTTGCTTATACATGTTTGAAAACGTAATGTAATATTATTTTCTATTCAATAAATTCTTAAATATATTTCCTGAAAGACTTCTTGCAACTCATGAAATGATGGTTTTCACTGCATTTTTGATTGACTCCAAGGCTGGCCAATTGGAGCTCCCAATCAGCGAGGTTCTCGGTGGATTGTTACCAAGGTTTTGAAATAGGTGTGTGCTCAAGGTTCGACATGCAAGGCTGTGCGGTCACTCAGTGGCTCATTTTTACCGCATTCCAATGCCATATCCGCTTCCGGTTACGCTTTCGCCATTTCCTCACCCCATTTTTTGTTCCTTTTTTTACGATTTTTTCCAGCGGGTGCGAAGTAATTGGCTGCGAAAATGCTGCCATAAATCAAACCGATAATTATGTGGGCGACTGCGCAACTTTTTCGCACCAAGTCGAACCATCATCAAAAATAACCGAGGAGTAAAATGAAAAAAAAGGGAAGCCAGGCTCATTTTGATTGCCGTCCATAAATTATGATTTGATGTGCGAAATAGTTGGGTGCCAGAAAGGCCGGACCTTCGATGGGTTGTTGGTAGGTAAATGCAGCTCAAGGTCGTGGTGGGGTTTTCTTTATTTTTTGTATTTTCCCCTCCTTTTTTTTTTGTCCATCTCTCTTTGGCGCTTCTTTTTGTGTCTGCTGGGCGGCCTTCGCTGGTCGTCCTTGAGTGGGTGGTGCCTTGGGTGGCTTCCGATTCGAATGCGGATGCGGAGAAAGTGAAACTGGAACAGCGGGTATGGGGGGGCTGAGGGGTTCACAGGAACTCCATGCCCCATTTTGTGGCCGTGGCATGATTAATTGCTCATTGTTGCGGCGGCCACATCGTAAATTGCTTTCACGTCTCGTGAATCTCGTGTTGGGCGCACGTGAATGCCATGAATAAGAGCGGAATGAAACGCAATGGAATCGGCCTAAAACGCTGTCAAATGGTTAGGGATATACTGGTAAAAAAGTATCTAGAAACCATAACTTCTACAACCAGAAAAAGCTGTTCTTCCAATCCAAAAAACTAAGCCAAGATCTTGATTTGAGGGTCTCCTTTGGCCTCGAAAAAAATTGAGAATACTTTCCTCTCTATTTTAAGATCGTACCATCTCTAGAAACAAAGTTGACAGTACTTTCATCTGAATATGTAAGATAGCTTCATCCCGAAAAGATTTCTTTCTTCTTTATTTTAAGACCGCTTAATCTAGAAACGCAACCTAGAGAGTAGTTTCATCTTGATATCAAGAACGTTTCTTCTTGAATAAATGAGAAGGTGATTTCTTGAATTTAGATCAATTCACCTTAGCTTAATTCCTTTCTCAATCTGATAAATGTTAAACTTGGACTTCAAAAAGTTAATAAAATGAAACTGCAGATGCTTTTTAGGTGATAAAAGTATTTATGTTACATATCATATACATTATTTAATATTATATATTTAAAACAATAGTATTTTTGGAAAATCTTTTCAAGAGCTGCTTTTAATGTAAAGAGCGCCCTAATTTTTTCCCCAGTGTGCTGAGCCCGAATTTCTCAGCTCATCTCATGTCATCCTGGCTAACGTTTAAGGCGTTCCGCATTGTTTATCTTCCTGCCCCGTACCTTTTTCCTTCGCCCGGCTAATGTTACATTATTAATGCATCTGCATGAAGCTTCCTCAAGCCTTCGTATGTAAATTAGGGCCCAGGCCAGGGCTTTCCCCTTCCGCTTTCCACATTTCTCCCGCATTTTCCGGTGCCAAGACGTGCAACCAAAAAAAAAAAACAGGCCCAACAAGATGGGGAAACCAAAGCAAGAGCAATTCGTGTCTGTTACTCTTGAAGTGATAAATGATTGAGGGGAATATTCGGATATATCGCAAATCCAAACCGTGGCCCAAGTGAGCTGCCAAAATGGATTTTACTCAGTCCAGTTTCCAGAACCAAGTGGGTGGCATTTAGTATGTGCAAAATGTATTGTTTGGCCGTGCCAAATCATCGTTTTACTACTACTTTGCCTTTTTCACTAGCCCCATTCCTAAAAAGTAACCATTTTTTTATTTTCACATTGTATTATATGATTTAATCTCTCGGCAGACTCGTTAAAAATTCCCCATTGCCTTTGAGCAGATTAACGAGGATAATCCCCGAACGTGTTCATTTGCCAACATCATTAGTTCTTCAAAATAAATGTGAAATGCAAAGTAAAGTGTTGCCATAGCCATTTCCCTTGTTCTTGCACTTGTAACCTCGTTTTTTGCCCCCAAAAAGAATTTAAATTGAGTCAAGAATCCTTTGTGGGCAAAAACGACCTAATAGAATGGGGTCCAAAGAGTTTGTTAAAGCAACTATGTATTATTTTTAAAATGTGGAAAATAAAATTGAGCTGATAGTTTACCATAATAATCATAATACTGGATCATATGATTGATCCTATATCATGCTGATTTAATGTTGTTCAAAACTTTCGCTTAATATGAGTACCATCAAAGTTAATCCCTTGAAGTTTGCCACAAATCGGATTATATGGAAGCCGTAGGACCGTTCGCTCTGCAAGGGTATTCGAGGCTAAACTTTCTTTCTTATAGAGTTTGGCGCCACTGTAACTGCGGTTGCCTTTGCTGTGGGTATTTCACTCGCCGTTTTTTTTCTTCCAACCTAGCTATAGCAATCACGATAATAAGCATAAATAAAAAGGGCAACAAAAAAATTACACAGCCATAAAAAAGGGCAAATGGCATAAAGGCGAGTGAGAGAGCGGGGGAAAAGCCTCGAACCCCAACCACTCCATTACCATCCGTCTTTGCTGGCCAAGTGGAAAGGGCCAAATAACCCGGACCAGACCCGACCAGTCCAGACCGAACCCAACCCATCACATCCCATCCCGAACCCAAACCCAAGTCCAACAAACAAACAAACAAACAAACGTCGAGAATGAGAACACAAACAAGTTTTGTAGTGGGTTGAAACCGCTGAACAACCTCGTAAAAACTTATTTAATTTGTGATTTATATGAATAAAATTGTGTAGTAAATTCCCTGAAATTATTCATTTCGCAGCGCTTACGGGCGGGTGGACAGTTCGAAACAGGACAGCCCAGCCAAAAGAAAAAAGAAGAGTGCACTGAAAAAAATTGCGATTTTTCAAGATCAATTAATGTATTTTATTTAACAAAAAAATTGTGTGAACAGTGCCTAATTCAGTAGATACTTATATATCGATAGTGTGGATAAGCCATTTTCTTCTGGTAGTGTTACCAGATACTTAAGATAGTTTTAGCCAAAATCAGTTTTCAATGTTAGGATTACATTATCATATCCTCGATTATCCTAAATAAACCAACATATAGTTACCACTCAAGAACAAATGTGTTGGGAGCCACTAAAATCTTTAGAGATCTATAAAAATAGACAAAATGAAAAGTGGCCAATAAGAAAATACTAGAAAATGAAGATATTTTTTATCAGACGAAATGAGCACTGTCACTGGTTTTTTACCTCGTTAAGAGGTGTTTTCCTTGATCACGGTTGTGAATTTATAAATTGCTTACTAAGTCTTAAACTTGTTTTTAAACCTTTTGTAAAGAGACAAAATTATTTACACTCAAAATTTAAAAAAAAATTTGGGATTATAAACATTTTAGAAAATATTAAAGGGAAATTTTCTATCGCCCATAAGTTAAACTTTGAACTTAAAACCTTTTTCCCAGTACATTCACAATTTATTCTGCATTTTTTTGTATTATTTAAAAATCTTATATGAAATATGTTCTTGTTTTTATTTCCGTGTGCAATTGGCAAGCTAAGATGGGGTCGAAAGGATAAACTGAGTTGTGCTCAGACCAAAACAAGAACGCTGCCAAAATCAACTGCTGAGGAGATGGCGACAACAGCAACATCAAGTGTAGCAGCAACAGCAACGACAACAGCAACAGCAGCAACATCAACGACAACGACAACAGCAACATACAAAATTAAAAGAAAAGTTTTTGCTGGCTAACCAAAGAGTTTCACATTTTTGATTTACTCTCGAGCAGCAGAATCGCAACTTTTGCGCATATAAATTTGGGCCAAGCGATGGTCAGACATCCCCCTATAAAGTGCCTCCTCCCCAAAAAAGCAGATCCTAAATTATTTTAGCCTCCACTTTCCCCCCGAAACTTGTGAGTTTCGTTTTGTTCAAATGATTTTCGATTTCCAACTAACCGCAATTTAGTCTGGAAATATCTGAACTGACCCCAATTGGAGCGGTGAATTGCGGGGGTTTCGTCTCATGAATTAAGCAATTCTAGATCTCCGGATGGGAAGTTCCCGAGCAGACATTGGAAATAGCTTTTGACATTTATAACCATCGATTTGCCCAGCAATATTTTCGCAATTTATTAGCATTTATGAATACATTTCGGCGGGGGTGCCAGGTATCACTTACAGAAGTTTATGGCATAATTTAATGTACATTAAGTTGCTGTATTACCAAGTCTATGGCTGTGGGCATTTTGGTTGGCTGCTTTTGGGTTTTAGATTTAAATGTCCTGGCCTCGAGAAATTTAAGCTTACGGCGGTGGCAGAGGAAAATGAGTAGATTGTTGTTTAATTGAAGATGAATTACACGAATTTAAGGGAAACTAAATCCGTCAAGGAGAAGATTAAATGTAATTAACAGAGCTATTTATTCTATTTACCCTTGATATGTTTTAATTGAAAATCTAAAATTGATGGGATATTTATTTTTCAAAAGCACAGTTGAATTTATAAAGGTATTTACTGAGACTAAAAAAAATAAACAAGGATTTTGGCAATAATCTGATCTGTTGTCAAATTAAGGTGGTGCACAGAGAGGAATATTCAAGTACATTGTTCTTGAATTGAGAACATTCGTTCTTGAAACCCGTGTAAGTACATGGTTCCTTTAATTCGGTAGTTTTATAGGGAGTATCTTGTACTTACGGCTCTAGCATCGCAGCGCATTCCTAGGCTGATTACCAGGCAGAGTCCCACAAAGGACACCAGGCAGCGGGGTCGCAGCATTTTCGATATCTTTGAATTTCCGTTGATTAGGATAACCACCTTTTTTTATGTCTTGGTCCTTACTTGTTTTTTTTTTGAGTGTTCTCAATTTTTGGCGCTCACTATCAAAAAAAAGGCAACAATAAGGTTGACGGTTGTTCATTAACGCATCGGCACGAAATTGGCGAAAGGATTTTTTATATTTTATTTGGTTGAGGTCCTTTAAACCCCCTCCCCCCCTCGATCTCTCTTCTCATTCCCCCCCAACTTTTAATATTTTTGGTCTGTCCACGCAACAATAACAAGGAATAAAAAAATACATTTTGCCGGCGCCGCGGCGACTTGTTTACTTTCACTACCACAAGGACTTTCACACGCACACACAGACGCACACACACACACATGCTCGCAGGATATGACAGAGAGAGAGAGAGAGAGAGGGAGAGAGATAGACTGGGGGTAAAAAGGATCCCCTTTTAGGAGCCCCAAAATCACAACGAACCGAACGCGCGCGCGGCACGAATTGTTCTGGCGCCTCGACGGCGAAACAGGTCCTTTTTAATGTCCTGCCACGGCGAAGGCGGTGGCGAAAGCTCTGCGGCGAATTCGGCTCCCTGCCGAGCGAATCCGAGATGGGGCGAAGCGAATGAAGTTTATAAAATGTACGTGACTGTGGCTCGCTTCGAGCATGAAGTGTGTGCTAAGCTTTGCTTCTAGTACAAGCCAACCCAGCCCCCTTTCTCCTTTCCCCACTCTCTTTTTTTCCTTTACTTCCGTACTTCCACAACACCCCCCCCCCCCTGCCCCTTCCCTTTCGCCCGTGCATTTGGCACAAAATGCTCAAGGACACTTGCCTAAAACTCGCACCAGACCCAAAACCAACTTGTACACCTGGAAAAATCTTTGGGCATTCTAATAATATTCACGTTAATTTAAACAACTTTCGGAACTTTACCTTTGTGAATTCAAATGAAACATTTTTTGTTTGGATCCTAAATCAAAATCTAGCTTACTTTCCTCACCACTTTTAGTCTGATATCCAAAAATAATTTCGTTTGAATTAAAATTTAATGCCTTAAAAATAAGAAGTATTGAGACCAAACTACTAGTTTGTAATTGTAACTAGGTTTTAGTTTAATTAAGATAATAATATTGCTATTTGAAAAAAATATTTTTTTTAAGCCACATGTTTTACAGAAAAAGTTTAATACAAAAAATTTTAAGGATTAAATTTATATTTTCGGAAAATTAAATTTACCAACAATAGTGAATTCAAAATACTACTAAAATACATCAGAAATATACGCTCAGCTTAATAATTTCTTCTTATAATAGTTGATAAATATATTAAATCTGCTAACATACATATCATTTATTAAACAAACACTTCCTTTTTTCTCTTCGTGTACGACCCCCCTTTAGCCCATGTCACCATCTAAAAATGACGATGGGGGGCAGGACAAGGACTCTCCAGCTTAATGCTTTCATTGTGCAGCATTTCTTTATTTTTAGTTGATTTGCTTGGACATTTTCGGTTAGTTCTCCGCTTGTGTCTGACCTTGCCACCCACGCCAGGCCAACCATCATCCACCGCCCAACGCCCACCACCCACATCCTTACACCAACCCCCAACCACCACCCACCGCCCACCGCCCACCTGCACTCCAATTAGAATTGTGTGTGTTTTCCGAGGTGGACAATGGCTGCCACTTGAACTTCGCGCGCTCGATTTCACTTCCATAAGTTTCAGAGGCATAATCCCTGACCAAGCCCATATCCGTCCCACTTCCACTTCCTCGTCCACGTCCACGTCCAGCTCCGTGTGATGTCCCTGTCGATGTCGTTTGTGTAGTTTCCGTAGTTTCCGTAGTTTACGGATTACACTTGTCCGGCCACACCCCGCCAGCTTAGTACCCTTTGTCGGGGAGGGGATATCCATATCCATATGGCCGAACCCCTCATCGATGGCCATGCAAATAGGGGCAGGGCATCGGGCATTCTCCTACTCCTTCTCCTCCATGGACACTACACATTTATTTGCTTAGCCCGGAGTCCTGTGTCCTTGCTGCTCCTCCTGCTGCGGCTGTTGCGGTGCCACTGCCACCGTAGATGTTGTGTTGTATTCGGATCCAAGGTTCTTAAGCCGCCCTAATACCTTTCCTAATGGCTCCGATGCTCTCCATTAGCGCCACTGGACGCCACTTAATGCCACACGTAGTCCGAATGGAAATGCGACCCGCTCGCCGGGATTAGAGTGGGGTAGTCCTAAGGACGAGGTGGGCGTCCTCCCCGCGGGGGCTCAGCTGTCCTGTTCGTCGGCTTCCCGGGCTGAATGGTTAATCAATGCAAAACATCGCCTTCTACGGACATCATCAACACAATGGACCCGTTAAGCATTACACAATGCTGACCATTATGCGTGGGCACAAGGAAATACTGCGACTCGAAAATATGAAACTAATCGCAGATACGCCTAGAGAAAATATAAGTAAGTTATATAAAGATGTATACCGTTTTCTTAACTTATTCTTGTTCTTATTTTTTAACTTTTTATTAAAATAATGTTAATAAATTTAAAATTTTTAATAAAAAAATATCCTTAGAACTATGAACACTGTTTATCCTTTGTAAGATATATCTAAAAAATCCTTATTAACTTTTGCTTTCACTTTAAGCATTGGTTTCTTTTAAGTATCTATTTAAAATGCGCTCATAACATTCAAACATTTAGGAAAATATCTTTAAAATCTAAAGTTTATATAGAAAACTACTACTACTAATTTATAATATAAAATATTATTTACTTAGTTATATCTATTGTATAAGAAATAGTTCGTATTACTTGGTCGATAAAGTATGTAAATTTAGGTTATCGAAAACCATTTTATTATACCCGTTACTCGTAGAGTAAAAGGGTATACTAGATTCGTCGGAAAGTATGTAACAGGCAGAAGGAAGCGTTTCCGACCCCACAAAGTATATATATTCTTGATCAGGATCACTAGCCGAGTCGATCTAGCCATGTCCGTCTGTCCGTCTGTCCGTCTGTCCGTCTGTCCGTCTGTCCGTCTGTCCGTCTGTCTGTCCGTCCGGATGAACGCTGAGATCTCGGAAACTATGGGAGCTAGGCTATTGAGATTTGGCGTACAGATTCCTGAGCTTCTTACGCAGCGCAAGTTTGTTTCGGCACAGTGCCACGCCCACTCTAACGCCCACAAGCCGCCCAAATCTGTGGCTCCTACAGTTTTGATGCTAGAATAAAAATTTTAACTGAAATGTATTGTTCTCATCAATACCTATCGATTGACCCAAAAAAAAGTTTGCCACGCCCACTTTAACGCCCACAAACCGCGAAAACCTGTGACGCCCACAATTTTCATGCTAGATAAAAAATTTTAACTGAAATGTATTGGTCTCGTCGATACCTATCGATTGATCCAAAAAAAAATTTGCCACGCCCACTCTAACGCCCATATCGCTTAAATCTGTATACCGCCGGTAGGTGGCGCATTTTAATCTCGCTTTGCTGCTTGCATATCTCCATATAGCTGAGTAACGGGTATCTGATAGTCGAGCTACTCGACTATAGCGTTCTTCCTTGTTTTTATTTTAAAAACTTGGCCGATTCTTAGACACAATAATATATAAATTGTTTTTCTTTTCTTTTCAATGTGGATAATTTTTACATCTTTGCAGTAGTTTTGTAAAACTGAAAACCCACAAATATTGTTTTTTACGGTTCCTTATTTTTTTGGATAATATTATATTTAATGAAAAATAATTATAAATAACCTATAGCTGCTATAGCTCATGACCACTGTTAGCATTTAGTTTACAATTACTTGTTAGCATTATATAAATAAATAAAATAAATAAATTATAATTAAAAAAATAATTATAAATAAAAAAATAATTATAAATAATATATTATATTTATTAATATGATTTGTAGTTTAAATTAAATATTTAACAAAAAATAGAAAGAAATGTATAGAGGGCATTCAGTCTGTGCTTTACCATCCACATAATCCCGACCTATCTCAACGATCGAACGATCCACTCTCCAGAGCTTGGGATCCACATCCGAAATTCCATCCACAAACAAACCATCTGATTGTAAAAGCACCCGGTCTTGCGCAGCTGACAATCAGTTTGGTTTCGAGTCTCCACGTGTTTGGATTGTTGATCATAGAGATCCGTAAACATTAATTATCTACAAGTAAGAATGGCACCCCCGGAAGCGTCTGATATTGAGGTGCGCCAGGTGTCCCCTGAGGATGTGGGCGACATGATGACCTTCCTGCTGACCCACTATTACCCCGAGGAGCCCCTCACGGTGGGCACCAGTCCCCCGGAACCGGAAACGGCGGATAAGGAGTTCCTGCTGTCCAATGTGCCATTCGGCACTTGCTTTATGGCTTTCTTGGATGGCCGGATAGTGGGTGCCGTGGTGGCGGGACCCAAGGATATCCACGAGCCGGAGCACTTGGCCGAGGAGGCCAAGAAGCATGCCGGCAGCAAGTGGGGTCGCATACTCCATCTGCTCAGCGCCGTGGAGTCCGCCTCGGATGTCTGCCGGCGGTTCAATGTGCCGAGCAGCCTGCACGTCCACGCCCTGGGTGTGGATAAGGAGCAGCGGGGTCGCAATCTGGGCGCCCGCCTCATGACCGCCGTTGCCCAGCGGGCCAGGGATCTGGGCCACCCCCTCGTCTGCGTCGACTGCACCAGCGTCTTCTCCGCCCGTCTCGTCCAGCGGCTGGGCTATCAACTGGTCAACACCCTGCGGTACGAGGACCACCTGGACGCCAGTGGCCACCAGGTCATCCGTCCACCGCCGCCCCATGAAAGTGTCCAGACCTTCGTGCTGCAACTCTAAAAAAAACAGAACCCTGTTACCGGGGAACCTTATAATCTTATCGTTTTACCATAGAGCCATAACACACCCCAAAACCCCAAAACGGTTATCAATTCCTTATCGCAACTATGTATACTCGTAATAGCCCTTACAATGTCGCAATCTATGGGAAGGTAAAGTGTAGCAACTTTTGTGTTTCGGTATTAGTATGTATTAGACTTCTTAGATCATTAGTCTTAATCTAACTTGTTTCACTGCCCACAGATTCTAATAAAGGTATTTTGAAGTAAACAAAATTGTTCTTTAAATAAAACGTTGTATAATCCATTTAATCGAAGGGCTTTGAATATTTATGTAATGTTTATAAATATACACCTATTTATTTATGACTTTTAAATCTGGTAATTGTAACGCCATTTACAATAGCTTTTTTCCACAGTATTTAATTAGTTTTTTTGAGAACAGACATTTTAAATTTTAAATACTTTAAATGTTGATCACAGGTCTATTAATATTTATGAAATATTTATAAAGTACACATATTTTTGTATTCCTTTTAAATTATGCATTTGTAATGCTATTTAAGACTTTTTAATTTTTTGAAATTATACAATACAGTTTTTCTTCAATTCAAACGTTGTATAATACTTGGTCTAGATCTATCTTTATGTATCCTACATTAATAAAACATAAACACTTGAATATTCCTTTCAATTACGGCATTTTTAATGTAATTTAGTCGCCATTATGCAGTTAAACCTGCCTTGTTTCAGAATATTTAGTAAATATCATGTACATTTCTTAAACAGCAAATGACTTTTTTCTGAAGTGTAAGTATTAATCCACATATTGCCTGCGCCTTAAGTGTCTTGAGACTAATTAGTGATGTTAACTGAAAATTCAATTGTTGTTATGCGTACTTGTGCGGTCCTTAGGATGGAATTAGGTGGGTGAGCATGTGGATTGTTGCCATGACAACTTTTGGGCTCCGAGGACCACTCCACATGCCAGGTGCCGAGAACCGGGTTCTCAGCTGTGGATTACGGCGAATAAATCCCTAATTAATAATCACTAATGAGCAGCCGCAATCCCAAAGTACCTGGGTAAATTAAGCTGCAAAGTTGCTCGATTGCTTTGTGATTTGATTGCAAAATTAATTTGCCATATACATATATGTGTGTTTCAGAGTCTAAGACAGCCAAGAGTTTTAATATGAAAATAATAATTGTATTAGAAAACAATTTTAAAAGTCTTTAGCATTTTGAGGGCGCTTTTCTCCTGAAAATAAAATTGCTTACTTTAAAAAAATATACAAAATTAAAGAAAATCTTCAAGTTTATTTAATCATTTCAAATACTACTAAAAATAAATATAAGAAGTCCGGCAGTGGTTTCGTTTTCATCTGAAGCTTTGGACAATTTGCCAGTCGGTGCTCTTGGATATTATGTAATAAGTGTCGGTCCTTGGCGCGTGACTGGCTGGCCAAAATAGTCGGGTCGCTCGGCTTCGATCCATGTGATTCCGTATGGGGCACGTGCAGGACCAAAATCTCTATCTGCAACTGTATCCAGGTCTTACACAGAAAAACAACTTTTGATAAAATTCACCAATATAATAGTTAAATGGTAACTCTCCCAACAACAAAACGCAAACTATTTAACATGTTGTGGTAGTTTTACTATGAAATAGTAACCAAAGCAAGATTATTTTTAACAGTTGCTAACTTTTTTTTTACAGTTACGTAACCATCCGTATGGGGCAATTTCACCCATAAAATTATTTTACTATTTTATAGTAGTTTTACTGGAAAATAGTAACAAAATTCACAATAAAATACTCGTCACTATTTTAATAGTTAACCTTTTTTATAGTATCAAACTATCTGTAATGGTTACCTTATCATTTTATAGTAGTTTTACTATTAACTAGTAACAAAAGCACTATTGTTAATAGCTTTAACCATTCTTACAGTTTTTTAACTATCTGTAATGGTTAATTTTATGCCATAACATTTTTTTTGTGTGTGTGTGGTTATAATAACTCACCCCTGAGACCATTTTGCCGACCAGTTGCAACCGCAGTAGGCCCTTTTAGGTGGTTTTATGGGTGGTTCGGTGGGTGGATGGGTGGTTGGTCGGTGGGTTGGCTTAGCGGCTAGGTAACCGACAATTATTCATTGCGCATACGACGCGTTGGACGCGCTAATTAGACACTGCAGCAGCTGCAGCTGTCGATAATGAAGCCGCTTCTGCTCGCTTTTCAGGCTACATACATTCATACATATATGATTATGCCGCTGCCACGCCCACTGGTCGAGGGGCACGTCCGCCCCAAACGCCCACCAGAAAGAAGGGGGCGTGGCCGGGCAGGCTGTTTAAGCTGTGAAGCACGTCCCTTTTGAGCCGGGGCCATCTGACGTGGCATGCATTTTTCCCAACTCCACCCTTTACCCTTACCCCTCTGTAAGCCCCCTCTAGCGATGATGCTAAATGGCCGCGTGCAAACTTTGCTGCCGGCCAAAAGCAAACTGGCCAAGGAACCAGTAACAAGTAACAAAAGTGCGGCAGCACAAGTTTCTCCTTTAGCCCCCATCTATAAAAAAAATCCCAAAAAAATACAGAAGAGCAGCGAAGGAAAAAGGACATGAAGAAGTTTCGCTGGCAAAGAATCAGCAGCCTGATTGCGGCATCAGATCAAAGGAGCGGGGTCCGTAATGGGATTCTGGATGACATCAGCTCAAAACTGGAGCACACTGGCTGCCTGCCATCGCATCACAACTTTTCAGGCCCAAATAATAGTACTTGAATAATACAAATAAACTTCCAAAACTCGCTTTACAAATTGAAGATAGTTCAAACAAAAAAAAATAAAAATTCTTGGTTCAATAAAATTAAGTGAATATAAAATATCTAAGGACTAACAGTTTTATTATAAGTAGTGGTAGTTGAATAATTAATAAACATCAGCAATTCCTCTTAAAAATCATACAAATTTTAATAAGTAACATTTTTAAAATCAATAATAAATCAATAAAAAAACATTACAAAATTAAAAAAGAATTTTCATTTAAGAAATAGCCTTTAGAATACCTAAAATTAATAACTTCATTACAAGAAAAACAACGTTAATTCCATTTTTAAAATAAAAGATACTTAGATTAACAAATATTTGTATATATTTTTAAAAATCCCAAAAACTTTGATTCTTTTACATTAAATACATTCATAAGTAGTAGTATGTTATTAAAGGGAAAACTTCAAAATGTAAAAAATGTAAAAATGAAAGATATTTCAATAATAAAGAAAATATTTACATATTCATCATGGTCCTCTTGACATCTTAATTAATCTGTTCTTAACAGTAGATGCATTTTTGCAATTTCTCAATATTTTTTAATTGGTATTTCGTTCTTCATTTTATTTTAAGTGTTAAACATTTTTATTTGCAAATTGAAAAGTGTAAAAAGTGTAATAAGAGCCTTGTGGTATGAATACCAAAGGCTTAACGTCAGATTCTTGTTTTTATATTGCATATAGGTACATATGTAACAAATATATATACTATATATACTCGTACATATTTACATATATGGCCTGCTCATTTGCATGGGTGTTGCATAAATAAGAAATGTTCACGCATCCTTTGGGTTGATTGTTGCTCGTGTTTATGTTGCTGCTGTTGCTGTTGTTGATGTTGCTGCTGTTGCTGTTGCTGTTGCTGCTGCTGTTGTCGCCGTTTTCGTTTTTATTTCCCGGCTGTCAATATCCGTGTCCGCATCCGTTGGCACATTTCCCATTTCCCAGCGCAGGACATTCGTCTGCGTTTGGGCCTCCGATACGCAGGCACTTTCCCCACTGACCTTTGACTCCCACGTGGCCCATCAGCCAGGACCTGCTCCTTCTGCTCCTTCTGCTCCTCCTGCTGCTCCTGTGCTGCATGATCCCACCTTGAGGATGCGTGTATGTGTGTGGCCATAAACAACAGGATATGAAACGACTGCCTCGAATAGCCCGGGGGACAGGGATCGGGATATGTGGTGACCCCCAACACCGATATCCTTGATGCTCCTGCTCCTGTTCCTGCTCCCGTTGCCCTTGGCTACGCACGATTTAAATTAAATTGCACTTGACGCATTTTCCGGCTGGTGTGGGGGAAAGGAGAAGGCGGCGGAGGAGGAGGCGGAGGCCCAGAGGAGCCACAAAGACACGAACCTCTGACATGGAACTCCTGCTGGAGTCCTGCTCCACCATCACCACCACCACCACCACCACACCTCCTATTGTGATTCAATTAGTGCGCCTAGGTCAGCAGCAGCCAGACGGTCCTCCGGAACACTGCTTCCTGGCCATCGGGAAGCCAAGTGCCCGTAAATAAATAATAAATGTAATCCCAAGCTCGGACCCTCATCGCAGGTGCTATGAAGGACTATGAAGGATGGCGGTAGCGAAAAAGGATTGCCGAGGTCATTCAACCAGCAGAGATCACAGGTCAGAATGGATGGATGGATGGATGAATGGATGAATGGGTGGATTGATGGATAGCAGATTGAATGGAAACCCCTTCGGTTGGATAAACTAATGGGTGACTAGATGGCAGGGCAAACCGGGAAATGGATGGTAGGAAATCATAAGAAAAGAGTAAGGTTCTAAGGAACATACATTGTCCATAGTTAAAAAAACATAAGATACAACATGAAATTAGGATAGGAATGTAGCCATTAGAGTTTAGAAAACATATGTAGTGGTTAATTTCTATCAAGTGGTTTTAAAAAAATTCTTTAACAACAAAATAATAAATGACCTATGAGAAAAACAAAGAAAATTAAAAATAAATCTATAATCTTAGTACCTGTAGAAAAATACATTGTAAATTGTACTGCATTTAAAATGAAACGAAGCATAATGTTGAAAAAATAATAACATATATAATAATGTAATATATAAAGAAAATATTAATCTTGAAAAATGCTACAAGCTGCAAGCAAAAATATAATATTTTGCTGCGTGATACTCGTACTATCTATTTTTGCTAAACTTTAAACCCATCAATAGTACCTTTAGGGCTATTGATTTTGTTATCTATTCTTGTAGCCTTAACTGAGTTTTAAATCTAAAATAAAGAACTATTCTCTTACCAAAAACATTTCTGGAGAAATAAATAAGCCCTCAGAAAATAATTGCGTTAAACATGCCGGTCATCGTCTAACTCAATTTGGGTTCAGCCAATTCCATGATAAAATAGTTCCATCAAGTAAACGAGATTATCCTCGAATACTCTGTAAGCGGGACTCTCTTGGAGATTCAGGACCACATGGAATCCGCAATAACCGGGCTTTGCGCCGGGAAAAGAAAGTAAGGTGGCTATGGGAGGTGGGGGGAAGGGAAAGGAAGCTGGTAGTGCACACAGAAATCTAATTTAAAATCTGCACACATGTGGAGCTTGGGGCAGAAAGTGGGCGGCGGGGCTTAGGGGGGGGAGTATTTCTGGGGGGTCAAAGGTTCAGCGACAGACAACAGATGGGCGTTCTGGAGCACCTGTGCATGGTTGGGGAAAGCCAAAGGTAGCCGAGGCAAACAGTCGACAAAACAAAATCAAAGTCACCTTTGGATGTGTGGAGTGGACTTGCGATTTAATCTTATAATGATGCTGGTCTCCAACAGAGTTCCCAAGTCCCGAGTCCCAGAGTCTCGAATCCCAGCTCCCGTATCCTGTACACCCATCTCGAATTCCTGGCCTTATTTACACGTCCTCGCAGTTCATCGCCTGATGGGATGCTAGTGAAGTTAGATCCCGTTTGCAGGCAGACAAACACCTGGCCTCCGAATCCTTTCACTGCATTCTCCGCCAGAAGGACTCCCCGGATATTTGCCAGGACGAGGGGAGTCCCACGCCCAACCATTAGGAATGGCAAGGGATTCAAACAATTTTCGAGCTGAATGCTGGGCCACGCACCATGGGAGTTCTTGCGGCAGGACCAGCTCCATTTCGAGTCCGGATACACTCAGAAAAACAATGCTGTTTATTGAGAAAAATATATATTATGGGTGTTTTCTTGTTGGGATATTTATTCGTATATTTATATTAAGAGATAGGCTTTCAATATAAAATAATTATGCTTGTATTTGTTCTATTCAGATCCATTTCGAGTCCACTTACACTTAGAAAAACTAATGTTCATTGAAAAAAAAATACATATTAAGGTTTGGACAATTTTATTTTGGTTTTTTTAGGTTTACTAGTTATTGGCATAAGTATACTTATATTTATAATTATTAGAAGAAAAATTTAAAATTTAAATTTCTTATTTCTTATGACATTTTTTTGCTTTATTCAGAATTGTGCTCCATTTATTTTAGAATAAATACCTAAGAAAATGCTAATTTTTTCCCAGTGTGCTAGTAGGCATTTCCTATACAACAGCCCCTTACATTCTTCTATTCCCCGAGGAAAAATGGTTGATGTTCCAGGCATCAGACCCGCAGGACCAACAACATGATGAAAGTATTCCAGAGGAATCTCTGCGTTTTGCAAATGCATTTACATTTATGTGTAGTCAAGTGGCTTGTTAACGATTAATTTGCTAGAATTTAAATGAAAATGTTAAACTATCTACAGTGATTTTTTCTGGGATCCTTCGGGTGGGTCCACCTCCTCCTTGGGATCAGCCCTTTGGACGCCACTGGTGCCCGGCTTTTGATCCTGATCCACGGCTGATTTCGAGGCAAATGGGGAAACTCCAAAGGTTCGCTCATCGGTGACCAGAAGACTCAGCACCGACGTGGAGGTCACCATGGTGGTATTGGGTTTTATGCCGTATTTGCCCAACCTTTCACCCTTCTCGCTGGCAATCGTGTCCGTTCTCAGGTACTCCGCCCCCTTCTTGGTGATCACACAGAGATCTATGTTCGATCCGGAGCCCAGATCGTTGAACACGCCCGCCGAGATGGCCTCGCGGACCAGCTGCTTGCCCTGATCCCGGTCCAAGTCGGGTCTCCAGCCGTGTTCCAGCACAGACATCGCGGCCAGAGTGCCCGAACCCATGGCCGCATAGGGGATCTTGTCGTTGGACCCGCACGGATAGATGCAGTAGATCTGGGGACCGGTCCTGTCCACCCCGCCCATCACCAGAGCGGCCCCGATGTGTCCCTGGTAGCGGAAGAGGGTTCGGCGGAGCAGCATGCTGGCGCAGACCACCGGCACCTGCCTCCCGGTGTTCAGCTGGTGCAGATCCAGCTCCGCGGAGGTCGTCAGGGTCATCATCTCCGTGTCGGCAGCGGTGCCAGCTCCACAGCAACTGGAATGGTTGATGTACAATCAAAGCTCCATGCTTATGGATGTATCAAGCTTATGGTTAAAAAAGTGTATCCCTTGGATTTTAATGTGCTAAAGTTATTTGAGTTAAAGCTCCTGATGCGACAAGAGCATGTCTTCTATATTGTTACATCGTTCACTTCGCAGGACTATCAGTGAGTGTCTTGGTTGACCCCTTACAAAAAATGCGAAAATGGGTCAAAAAATAAATGTTCCTTAATATGATGGGAATCGATAGCATTTGTAGCAAGCTGCTCAAAACAGTCGGTCTTTTAGCTGTACGCCTTGATTTGGCTAAACTACGACTGAAAAACCACTAAAAAATTAGTATTTTTGAACAAAATCTGAATCCAAAAAATAACTGATGTACCCCCTTATTAAAAATGCGAAAATGGGTCAAAAAATAAATGTTCCTTAAAGTGATAGGAATAGATAGTATTTGTAGCAAGCTGCTCAAAACAGTCGGTCTTTTTGTTGTACGCCTTGATTTGGCTAATCTGCGACTGAAAAACCACTAAAAAATTAGTATTTTTGACCAAACTCTGAATCCCAAAAATAACTGAAAATGGGTTAAAAAATAAATGTTCCTTAAAGTGATGGGGATCGATAACATTTGTAGCAAGCTGCTCAAAACAGTCGGTCTTTTAGCTGTACGCCTTGATTTGGCTAAACTACGACTGAAAAACCACTAAAAAATGAGTATTTTTGAACAAAATCTGAATCCCAAAAAAAATAGCTAGCCTTAAATGTATGGTCCGATTTAAAGAATGGATGGGTTGATGTATATTAATAATCAAAACAAAATTATTGACACTACAAAATCGATCATGTGGTTGAAAACGCTTTCTTCTATTTGTTACACACTTTTACCGTACAATCACTACTTATAATAATAAGCTACTACTTACTATATGTGATCCTGGAGATGGTGAATTTTGGAGCAGTTCTTGTCGGAGACAATGGGTCCTTCGGTGGCGCGAGTATCGGCGCCCAGGATAACGCCATCCTTATAGATAATGCCCACAATGGAGGTGCCCGTGCGGATAGCCTTCGGCGGCTCATAGCCTTGGGCCAATAGATCAGCATTCCTAGGGCGAAAGGACTTCGTTTAATTCTTTGGTTAATAACTAAAACGATAGCTCACCTCCTGCAATTGACAAAGCTAAAACCGCAGCGCGTTTCAGAAATATCCACGGACCTCCTTTGAGCCGCTTTTGGGGCGGAAAATGGGAAAAGCATGGTGTGAAAAGTGTTCAATGAAAAATCACTAAGTTTTATGACTGACAAGGTGTTACACCGAATATCGTGTGGAAATTGTATTGTCGTTTCACTAGACAGGAATATCTACGAAAACTTTTAAGGTGTTCAATGTTCTAAAAATATTGTTGAACTTTTATGATATGTACACAAGAAACAACAAAGCTTAAATTTGAAACCACCTATACCGAAAATTTAATATAATAGTTGTAAATACTTTTATTAATACTAAGTGCCATTAATGAATTGTTGTTTTCTGTTTCTTGTTTGATAAGAAATAAAATAATTCACTGTTTAGGGGTTAAATATTTTGATAACGAGTTATTTTTTTAACTAAGAGAAATGCTGACTAGATTTTTATTTATTTTTTAGTTTTATCAAAGTTAATTTTGCAACTATTTTAAAAGCTATTTTTCAGGTTTTTCAAACATTTTTTGTTGGGTAATACAAATTTGCAACTTTAAAATGCAGATAATATTGTAAAAACGCTGTTATTTGTGGCCAATTGTGTCCAAAAGAAATTTCAACTATGCAGTCAGGTGGAAAACTATCATAAAAAAGTGAAAAGCTGGGAAAGGTGTGTGGAATGTCATCAGTGCAGTGGCCACCATTTCCGTTTCCACCCATTTTCCGACTGCATTTCAAATGCCAAACAATTTGACAGAGCTTAATTGGTTGGCCAGCCCACGAATTTGCTTGTGTGTGCATTTGCTTGAGAGTGTGGTGTGCGTGTGTGGTCGAAAGTTTGTCCTTTTGACATGATGGGCGTGCATGTGTTGGTAACTGCAACTGTTTGTCCTCCAGCACACAGATACTGCGTGCGTATCTGTGTGAGGTCCTGCCTGCGGTATTCGCATTTGTGTGGGTGCTCCATAATCCGCAATCCAAGGACATGGATACTTAAGCCCCGGGAATGGGTTGCAATCCCTGTTGCTTGGCATGTCTCGGATCCCCGACACCGGCACATGTCGCACAAATCAATTAGCATTAATTAGAATCCAATTATATTTTAATCAACATTTGCCCAGCAAACTGCAGCGAGTGCGATGTTCACTTCCAGCTGTGATTTCACTTGATTTCAGTAGCAACTGGCAACTCAATTGCCTGGGCGGACTGAAGGGAGTTCCCCGGCCACGAGGCACACGGCAAACAAAAAATACAATTTCTAAGCCATTACAGATTTTTGTGAGTTATTCAAAGTTTATTTATTTCTATTGGAACAACTCTCAGCAAGCTGCAGTCATTTTTTCGCAACTCAAAAATAATTAACTTTTAATTGGGAGAAATTTACCTTAATTACTTATATTAAAAACCAAAACCAAAAGTAATTTCAAGTAATTTGAAAAATAATTAGATTGGATTTACGCAATTTAAATTTTGACCCAACATTGTAATCATGTTTTAATTTAAATGTTGTGTATGTATATGCACAATTTAAAATATAGGCCTTATCATCATTTCAGCGAAGGTTAGCGAGATCGTATAGTTGTAGTTATGCCAAGTAGCCCAACTTATTCCATGTTGCGAGCTATTATGACCATTATCATAGTAGATTCCAGTGAGTTTACTGTAATTTAAAGAGGTTAAAACATTTGGGCTTACTCGATTTTATTTGAGCTGTATACCTGTAATAACAATTGCAGTACCACCAACCACCACGATTAGTGGCGCAATTTTTGTTAGCATCATCGTCATTATCCCGGTCAAATGTTGTAAACTTTTTGTTAAGGTGTTGTCTAAGAGAGTCCCCGGCTTCACCAGAATATGCTCCCAGCTTCTTCAGCTCATAGAGTTCTTTTTCGGTTCCAATAAGGAAATGATCGTATTTAGCGTAGCTGGTGGATCCATCAACCTTCCCGAGCTTAATGTAGAGTTCGTGGGGTCGAACCGCTGTCATCCGATGTATTTTTTCCAGCCCCAGGAAGAACTCACCACTGACACTCCCAAATCCATTTTTATAATCAGTCCAGTTTCGATTGAAGTCCTCTGATCCGTCGAAACGTCTGAGAATTACCGTCCAGCCAGAAGGAGAGGACACACAAGGCACCTTAAATGGATCCATCCCCCGGATGTTTATTTGGTAAATCCCATTGGGACTGCCACTGGGACATGAGTCGGGAAAATTGGCTTCAGTTTTACGGTACTCCATAAGCTGATTAGACCGTTCTGATAGAGTGTTCTCGAGTGATTTAATGTGATTTCGTAGGTCCGAGATTTGTTCATCTCTATTTTGAAGGTTCTCACGCTGACCCTTGAGGGCTATTTCTTTCGCATTTATATGCTCTTCTTTTATTTTGATTTCACTTTGCAGGTCCTTAAAAGCCTCTCTCATAGTATTTACCTGCCTTTTCAGTTCATCATTTTCAATGACTGCTGTTTCCAGATGTACAAAGTGACTGAGAAGAGGCTCAAAAATTGAAAAAAAATATTTTTCGCAATCGGTTTTAGCATTCTGACTAATTAATTCGTGCGAGATATCTAAATGTGTTCCACCAAGAATAGAATGTCCTTTCTGAAGGAAAAGAAACATTATAGTTACTAAAAACCGCGTTTTCATTGTGGACGTTAGCAGCTCCAACTCGAAACTAAGCTGAAAGCAAAGAAATACGTGTATTTATACCTCTAGTTGTTTCATATATGTACATTGTACAATCTTAATAAACCAAGATAACGAATTTAAGATTGTCTTTTTTATATAAGTATTTTTAATATTTATATATACTTATAAATTCAGCATCAAGGTCGACGAATTTAATCATTATTTCAGCTTGTGTTAATGTCAAAACAGCTCCAAATTTAAAATCGCAGAACCATATATATTGATATTCCTTCTAAACATATTAACTATAAAAACAAAATGCAACTATATACCATTAAGTTAATTTTTTGGACTTTTTGACTATTAGATACCCGTTACTCAGCTAAAGGGAGTGCGAGGGAGATGGAGATATGCATGCATAAAATCGAATGTTTCCGAGATTGCACCCTTTATTTGCTTATAGCTTTTTAAATGATGGTCCGATTTAAACAATTTTGGCATGTACATATATGGGTATTGATGATCAGAACAAAGTCCGATTTACACTTTTTTTAGCGTTATGGGCGTTTGTGGGCGTTAGAGAGGGCGTGACACCCTGCTGAGATAAACTTGTGCTGCGCAGGAACCTCAAGAATCTGCATGCCAAATCCCAGCCTTGTAGCCTTTAAAGTTTCCGAAATCCCAGCATTTATACGGACAGACGAACATGGCCAGATCGATTTGGCTTATACTGATCAAGAATATATATATTTTATAGTGTCGGATACGCTTCCTTCTACCCACACTTTTACTCTACGAGTAACGGGTATAAAAACCAACTTTTTAAGCTTAGGGGTAACTATTTTATATACTAGTGAAATAATTCTTTATAATTTCAATTTAAAAATTTTAATTTACAATTCAAAGTAAATATTTTGATCAACAGAACATAATTTTTAAACATTTATAGATATGATTATAAAAATATAGATTATAAAGGTTATTTATTTTGTTTATTAATTTTTATTGTTATAATGATTGCAAAACTAAGACTATATAAACAAATATAGATTTTACGGGTTAATGTAAGGTATAATGTTTTTTGTTTAATCATACAAAAATTACAATGAACGCAAGTGTTTCAAAAATGATTTACTATGCTTGGCTTTTTCTTTATAGGTCAAAAATTTCGTATCCGAAACCACTGAGATTTTCTTTCAATGCATTTTGTAGCCCCGAAAAACTTTTGATCAGCAATTTAGGGCCAGAAAACTTTTGCAACAAATGCAAATGCAGCTGGAACAATTTTCTTTTTGTGGCGCTTAACGTACCGTTGCCGTTGCCGGAATATTTTGGTCCGGGGATTTTCAGTTTCGCCATTCGGACAGCGGACAGCAGTTGGCTTTTCAATTAGGCGGCTCCACGAACACCTGGCGAGGAAAATTCAGCGACAATCGACAACCGAATACAGGCCTAAAAATGGGAAACTAATCAAAAGTTGGCCATCAATTTTGATTTCTGTTTTGTTAACAGCAATTGGAAAAGTTTGACGGCCTCTTTTACCCCAAAGGAAAAAAAAAAACACAATCGAACAGGTTGTTTTACCCGCCATCGGAATCCCCCTTTCTTTTCTTTTTTTTGGGGTTTCCCTTTTTATTTTTTGCGGCTGTAACTTTTCCCAGCATAATTTCGTGGGCTCGACAAAGGGTGCGTCCTTAGCTGATTGGAAGATTAAAATTTAATAAGATTATAAAGTCATTTCGGGCTTGACGTTGGATGTTTATTCGGGTTTGTCTCTGGCACTTTTGGGTGTGCCTGGTGTTCGTCGTAAGTAACGGCATAAATAATTGAGATTATCTCGGATGTCGTCTGGCTATTGATTGATTATCACCAAAGGCTTTTCCGCAGGACCTCGAAACCCCCACAGGAGAGTACTTATATATACATAGGCTGCTGTTTCTGATATAGAATGGTAGCTATACCCGTTACTCTTGGAGTAAAAGGGTGTACTAGATTCCTCGGAAAGTATGTAATAGGTAGAAGGAAGCATTTCCGACCCCATAAAGTATGTATATTCTTGATCAGTATCCCTACTCGAGTCGATCTAGCCATGTCCGTCTGTCCGTCCGTTTCTACGCAAACTAGTCTCTCAGTTTTAAAGCTATCGGGCTGAAATTTTCCCAAAAGTCGTATTTCTTTTGCAACTAGTTTATAAGTCGGAACCATCCGGAAAATAAAAAAGGTTTTCTTAAACGGATATATTGTAATTTCCTAACATTTCTAGGTATTTCCAGTAGATTAATCGACCAATATATAAGCATTATTTCCAGTATACCAACTGATTGGTTGAAATATTTCCTTGCATTTGATGAAAACTTCCATTTTGCTCCCCAAAGTCAAGGTGCGGTTTATTTTTTGGGAATTTTTGCCTAACACTCTGCTGACTTTCAGTTGGCAGAGAGCTCACACAGCCACATACAGAACCACATGACCATACCCATTCCAATTTCAAAAACGACACCATGATGAGTCCTTTGATGTTGTGCCTGGCTCGTCCATTTCCCAATTGTCGGCCGTCGAGGAAAAGCTATTCCCAGTCGGATGGCCACTGCATCCTTGTGGAACAGTGCATTCGCCATTAACACACATCCATCCATATCCATTCATATCCATATCCATATCGCATACCCATCCCACATCCGACGAGTCCGCTGCCGAAGGACAAACGGCCTTTTGAGCCATTGTCGCTCGACGGGGCTCTGAATTCCGTTGGCACATTTATGCGGCAGTTGGGCGTCAAAGCGCGACCAGGATAATGGACACATCAAACCGGAGGTGAAATCCCCATGCACGGAAAAAAACCAGAGCAAAAAAGAGGGATTTATTGGCAAAAATCAAAAAAAAAGTACAAATTATTCTTCATGTAAAAAAACTAAAATCAAAGGACAAGAGCATAAAATACTAATCTTAGACCAAAAGAAATGTGGTAGAATCTAAGATGGTATATTTATAAAACTGAAAATACATATACTTTATCTTAAAAAATCTTAAATACACATGTACTTATAATTTAAGCAATTTTTTTAAAAGGAATTCTAAATTGTAATTGCTTGCCACATGAATAAGTTATATAAATTAGAGTTTTCTTTATTTCAAAGAAATGTCTGACCTGTATTTCTTTTTTAAAAATACTTTCTTCAAATAATTCTAGATTGTAAATGCTTGGAAATTATCGTAGTAAATGGTCTAGAAGCGCGATTTAAGCCACGAAGCAGGGGCAAAAAATAAAATCAAGGAAACGAAGAGCTGTAGTGAAGCTGCAACCGCATAATTCAATTAGTTATAGTCGTGCTTATTCTGCCCGGCTTTCCTTTGGCCCACAGCCCGTGGAATGTGCAACATGTGTGGCACCAGCCGTCTGTTGCAGCAATTAAACGGGAATTTCATTTCGGCGACGGCAAGTTGCCGCAGCAACAGTGGCAGCAGCAACACCAACAGTAGCAACACCCACGGCAGCAGCAACAGCACAGCAGCAACATAAGCTGCCGAGGCCATGTGGCACACGAAAGTCGAAAGGAAAATGGAAAATACTGGGACTAAACGACTGGAGCTTACCCACCATTTGCCTTCGATTAATTCTTATGAAACTTAACCACCATTTTACTTTAAAATAAAAAATCTTATTTATTTAATGCATGTTTAGATGTCTTATTTATATTCTTAATCTGAAAATGTATTTGTTTAATTTAGTTTTGTATTAAAATAAAAGTTTTTCCTGTTTATTCATATTAATTATAATGAGTCAACCAATTTTTGGACAGTATAGGAGTCTAAAAATTGGTTGAATAATTATAATTAAACAAATTCTAAGAGCCTTTCTTGAAATTTGACTAGCTGACTGCATGTATTTTGGTCATGAGTGAATATATATAGTAAATTTAAGAATTCATTTAGTGCTTTTAAGCTGTAGGTTACCAGACAGTTAGTCAAAAACAAGGAAGAACGCTATAGTCGAGTACCTCGACTATCAGATACCCGTTACTCAGCTATATGGAGATATGCAAGCAGCAAAGCGAGATTAAAATGCGCCACCTACCGGCGGTATACAGATTTAAGCGTTATGGGCGTTAGAGTGGGCGTGGCATATTTTTTTTTGGATCAATCGATAGGTATCGACGAGACCAATACATTTCAGTTAAAATTTTTTATCTAGCATGAAAATTGTGGGCGTCACAGGTTTTCGCGGTTTGTGGGCGTTAAAGTGGGCATGGCAAACTTTTTTTTGGGTCAATCGATAGGTATTGATGAGAACAATACATTTCAGTTAAAATTTTTATTCTAGCATCAAAACTGTAGGAGCCACAGTTTTGGGCGGTTTGTGGGCGTTAGAGTGGGCGTGGCACTGTGCTGAAACAAACTTGCGCTGCGCAGGAATCTCAGGAATCTGCGTGCCTAATCCCAGTATTGTAACTCTCATAGTTTCCGAGATCTCAGCGTTCATACGGACAGACGGACAGACGGACAGACGGACAGACGGACAGACGGACAGACGGACAGACGGACAGACGGACAGACGGACATGGCTAGATCGACTCGGCTAGTGATCCTGATCAAGAATATATATACTTTGTGGGGTCGGAAACGCTTCCTTCTGCCTGTTACATACTTTCCGACGAATCTAGTATACCCTTTTACTCTACGAGTAACGGGTATAATCAGACATTTTCAAATGATTTTTGTATTAGGAAGTGGGTTTCCTAATTACATTAAAAATATGTAAATAATCC